CTTGTCCAATACTGCAGATTCTGAATCAATGGCAAGATGAGAAATAACAGTGAAAACTTCAGGCTTTTATCTTTAATGGGATTCTGTTGTTCAGCCTCAAATTTCAACCTGAGAAAACCATGTGCTGAAAGTAAGTCAACGGGCATTCAATAAAAAATAATATAAAAAAAAGCTTAGCTCGGATTGAAAATTTCACAAAAATCTTCATACATATCCATTATGTTATGATAAAGAAAATTTCAGGCAAATCAAAGGTGGTGGAGCAGAAACTGTTTTAAAAATGTGATGATCTGAGATAGAATGACGGAGAATAAATGAAAGTATTCTGTGAATAAGTTGTCCAGTCGTCCTGCTGTTCAGAACTGACAGCTGATCATGCCTCAGACATCCTCAAACAGAATCCTTTACCACCTGAACACATTCATCTCTTTGTTCCCTATTCTCCTCCTCTTCCTCTAAGATTACCCACTTCACTGTGTAGAACAAATGGCATGTATTGCAGAAAGCTGGAGCTGGGGGTTCAAATGTGGACACGCTTGATCTCTCTTTGCTGGAAAACCAACATTTTTAGTCACTACATGCGCATGAAGCCTCTCAGATGCTTTAATAGTTGAGGTTTAATCACATCCTTAATGACAGTGATCTAGCTGACACCCTGAGTTAGTGTTTAAAACCTTCAACGGGAGGCAGACGGACTCTTCAGGCGCCACATGTGTGTTCAGACACCAAAGCCACGTCATGCCGTGTGTCTGTGGACTGAAGTGAACCACACCGGAGGGGACCGCTGCCATCGGTCACGGCCCACACAGGGGGCACTAATGTGGGCAGCAGCGACAGAACACAACCCTCCTTCCTCGCTCTGCAGGACCTCTGCAGCCGGCCACGTGTGCCACCGATACCTGCTATACTGCCTTTTCCTGCTGAGCACCATCAGCACCGACTCACCGAACCGAGCGTCTTCAAACCAGACGCTCGTGCAACTTTTAAAGTTACGAGTGTTTCATTCGTGCAAAGTTTTAAAATCATATTGTTAATATTCCAGAGTTCCAGGTCCTTGAAGTCCATAGAGGAGGGTCCACATTTATCACTGTAATGGACTTTTTCCATCATTTTGAGCCTCAGAACTTCATCAGTCCAGCAGATAGACACATGACATTTAGGAGGAAGAACACATCTGAATTCTGGTAGAAACTGACACCAGATCAGTTCCACATCCATCCTGGTGACACAGTCTGAAGATAAAATGTGGTTTTAGAAATAGTTTCCCTTCAGAGTGAATCCTGTCTACAGATGGTCCTGCTGTGTTCTGGAGGTAAAGTGGTCCTGTCATTGTCTAGAACTTGCTCTGGGCAAAGTGCATTCTGGGTAATCTTTCTAGGCTCATATCAGCATGTGTGATGGTGGTTGGTCAGAACAAGTTCTAGACAACAGAAGGACCATTTTAGCTGATTGATTAAACAAAACTGCTCCACTCAGTTTGGTTGACAGCACATTAAAGTTACAGACCTGGGATGCTACTAAATGTGTTAATTTTCCATACAGAACCAACATTTTGCCATTTGTCTTGTCCAGCGTGGCCAAAATGTGCAGTAGAACTAGTAAGGATGCAGGTCTTACTGTCAGGCATGATGTGATGCATGGCTACAGACAGGAAGAAGATGGAGTCGCTGTAATAAGCTCCAGATCCGGCGCTGAAATGCTTCTGCATGGCCTCCACGATGGGGAAGAGCTTCTGGGTGAGAACCACCACGTCATGGAACAACACCTGCAAGGAGAGTCAGAGTCATGTCAGTACGAGAACCTTAAAAATGCAGAAAAGCTGGAAAGATATCAGTCTGTTGGATGACTGGTAGGAATCAGCCCAGATTACTGAAAGAGGATTTAAAAAACAATACAGTAAGCACCTGTTATCATTAAAGCATTCCTGCAGAGGGAAATATAAATAAATTGGTTTATTCTGTGTTTTAACATCAGTGAGTGTCTGAGGCTTCAGATTAAACCTGGACCATGTGGCCGCTGTGTTATAAACTGAACCAAATGTGCTTCAGTGGACAAACAGCGTTTAATGATTCCTGCAGGATTAGGGTAAGCTGCAGTTCATTTGTTTTAATCAGCACTTTGTGGACTGCTGTTGGTAATGTGATGTGATGGCACATAAATCACTGTGGAGGGCAGAACAGGTGATAACGCTCACACACTGGGACTCAGCTAGATGCTTTTAAAAGCCATTAATTCATTGTATTTCCAACCTCATTCATAATACTGGCGTTGCATCACGATGCTAACATCAAACCATGTGTTTCACGGAAAAGAACAAGTTCTGAAACTCCACAGCTGCTCTGATTTCTGCGTTTCTCTCTGCAAGATACGACTAAAAACCAAAATCCAGGTGCTCTCTGTGTTTAACTGCCACTATAAGTATAAAGAGAGAAAACTGAGAACCGGACCGTTGTGGTGAAGAGAGAGCTGAGCAAGGCAGCAAAGCTCTCGATTTACCAGTCAATCTACGTCCCAACTCTCACCTATGGTCATGAGATCTGGGTAATGACCGAAAGAACAAGATCGCGGATACAAGCGGCCGAAATGAGTTTCCTCCGCAGGGTGGCTGGGCGCTCCCTTAGAGATAGGGTGAGGACCTCGGTCACGTGGGAGGAGCTCGGAGTAGAGCCGCTGCTCCTCCACGTTGAAAGGAGCCAGCTTAGGTGGCTCGGGCATCTGTTTCGGATGCCTCCTGGACGCCTCCCTGGGGAGGTGTTCCGGGCGCGTCCCACCGGGAAGAGGCCTCGGGGAAGACCCAGGACACGTTGGAGAGATTATGTCTCTCAACTGGCCTGGGAACGCCTTGGGGTCCCCCCAGAAGAGCTGGAGGAGGTGTGTACAGATTGGGAAGTCTGGGAAGTCTGGGCGGCTCTGCTAAGGCTGCTGCCTCCGCGACCCGACTCCGGATAAGCGGGAGAAGATGGATGGATGGATGGAAAACTGAGAACTTAAAGACTTAACACTTGCAGGCAGAATAAGAGCGACAGTAACAATTTTGATGAGGCATCTTGAATAAAACCGACAGAAATAATGCATAAATCAAATCTAAAGTTTAGCAGCAACGTGACCATGACAGAGACTCTGAGGAGGTTCATGACCTCCAACCAGAACTCATGAGTTAAACTAAGCCAGAAACAAGGACAGCATTTTCATATCTCAGTAACATTTGCAGCTCATGATTAATTATACTGTACTTATTAGGAATATTTTGAAATTTACAACACCTGCATGACAGCGGATGTAAACAAAGGATCAGACTGAAGTTAGGGCTGATACAGATCTGGATATCAACCCTGGTCCTGATCCCGGAGATGGGATTCAGACGTCGCTAAGTAGCGGGTTTGTTGAGCATCAAGTCAGAGTTTTCACTGTCTCTGTTTAAGCTGTTAGATCACCGTGGTAACTGATGCTGCACAGCTAGATCACCGTGGTAACTGATGCTGCACAGCTAGATCACCGTGGTAACTGATGCTGCACAGCTAGATCACCATGGTAGCTGATGCTGCACAGTTAACCTGAAAACCTGGTAACAAACCAGTTGATAACCACTGTCGGATACCTGTTATCTCTGATTTTAAAGTTTTGTCGAGCTGACTAACATAAGAAAGCCTGGATATGTTGAACTTGTTTCACACTGTACTCCTCCAAAACAGGATTTTATACAGAGAATTGTGGCACAATGCTGCTCAACTCCTGTTTAGTCATTAGCAGCAGAGGTCAAGCTGCTCAGGCTGCAGTTTTGTAAAAAGGCTGGTCAGTCGTAATGAGCATCTCCTCTGGGCAGCGTGACTCTGCAGGCCCGTCGCTGAAAATGTCAAGTGGGTCATCGAGTCTGCTGCTGTTGAGACGTCACAGCAGCTGAAGTTGTTGCATAACTGTTGTCCTATCCTCATGTTTCCCAACAGTAAATAATTAAAAGCCCTCCAGATGCGCAGACAGCATGTTCTGCAGAACGACTCCGTCCTAGAGGAGGAACTGTCCCGGCTGAAGAACAGCGGCTGCACTTGTGTCGCCAGAACATAGTTTCATGATTCATGATCTCAAACCACCGTGTTAAAAAGCAATGGAGTGGAAAGATACCATGAGACGGAGGAAAACAGCCTGCAGGTTCAGTCCAGGCACTCAGAGGTCCCACCTGACTTGCTCAGAACCAGCTGGTTCTTTATCTACAGAAACTTTACGTAATGAAGCAACTAACAGTTACAAGTGTTGTATTCATGCAAAGTTCTACCTTCAGACTGTGAATATTCCAGAGTTCCAGACCCTTGAAGTCCACAGAGGAGGGTCCAGATTTATCACTTTAATGGACTTTTTCCATCATTTCTGAGCCTCAGAACTTCATCAGTACAGCAGATAGACACATGACATTTAGGAGGAAGAACACATCTGAGTTCTGGTAGAAACTGACACCACATCAGTTCTACATCCATCCAGGAGTCACAGTCTGAAGATAAAATGTGGTTTTAGAAATAATCTCTCCTCAGAGTGAATCCTGTCTATAGATGGTCCTGGTAGGTTCTGGAGGTAAAATGGTCCATACATTGTCTAGAACTTGGTCTGACCAACCACCATCACACATGCTGATATGAGTCTGGAAAGTTTACCCACAATGCACTTTTTAAACTTTCCTCCAGCCCCATATCATGATACAACCATCGCCGTGCTTCATTGTCAGGACTATGCATCCACTGTGGTGGTCCTGGTCAGAGGAGACACAGAACCACCACAAGAAAACACAGAAAACCACCCACAGACTAAATACCCTGGATGTGTTTATGTTTTTCTGATCATTCACCAGAGAAAACTTTACAAAGTGCATTCTGGATAAACTTTCCAGGCTCATATCAGCATGTGTGATGGTGGTTGGTCAGAACAAGTTCTAGGCAATGGAAGGACCGTTTTACCTCCATGCTATTAATATTTCAGAGATCCTCCAAAGAATCCCAGATCATATTATCTGATGTGTCGTTCCACGCTGGGTTTAATCAGCTTGTATCGAAATATCTTACTAAATTTAAACTTCTTGCATTCAGTCAATCAGCAGCTTTTCTCTCTGGTTGTTTATTAGCTGTTTGAGTTTCTCATATATATCTAATAGTCGCTGCTGAAATTGATCTTTATGCTTTAAATATGACTGGTGTGTTTTGTTTCTTAAAGCCAGGTGTTTTATAGTTTTATGCTTCTGAACTTTTCCGGTATTTTTCATGAACTGGATCCAGTTTAACCTGCAGGTTCAGAAAGATGCCAAACTGAACAAAGCTGGAACCGATCGGAGCAGGAACAGAATCAGACACCAGAGAGATGGAACCGGATGTTTTAAAGGATTCCTGAGAGAAACTGGCTGAGGAGGAGAATTTAGAAAGTCATCCGTAAACAGGGCAGCAGAGAGGAAACGTAATCCCTGTTTCTGGCAGAAAGAACTCCATGTAGGAGGGATTTCCCCATCAGAGGTCCGTTTGATGAACCGATGCTGCCCTCGTGTGTTTAAAACAGCAACTACAGTCAACACGATGCTTCCTAGAAAGCATTTCTGAGATCATTTAACAGCGTCTGACACCAAAACATTCACTTACTTTACTCACTGATCCACCGAGGTGAGAAAAGAAAAAGGAGTTTCTCTCACAAGCTCTATTTTTACATGTTTTCAGCACTTTTAAAAGCAACATTATGAAGGCAAAATACCTGTATGTCACAAATATGTGGTTGTTCTAAGCCAGGGGTGTCCAATCCTGGTCCTCATGAGCCCCTATCCTGCATGTTTTAGATCAGGGGTGTCGACATCCGGTCTTCGAGGGCAGCAATCCTGCATGTTTTAGATGGTTCCCTCTTCCAACACACCTGATTCACATGATCAGGATCGTTATCAGGCTTCTGCAGAGCTTGATGATGAGCTGATCATTTGAATCAGGTGTGTTGGAAAAGGGAAACATCTAAAACATGCTGGATAGGGGCTCTCAAGGACCAGGATTGGGCACCCTGTTCTAAGCAAACTCCAGGTTTTACTAAGTTCCCAGCTCTTAACTTTAAATCTGTTGGCTGTACATTAAATAAAAGGCTTGTTCTTTCTCATCATTTATATTCAAATCTACCTCAAAAATAAAAACTACAGCACATCTCTCAGACTATTAAAAGGTGGTTTCTGTAATTATTGAAGTCATGAGAATTGTGTGCCTTAAAAATCGGATCACAGCGTTTCTTATAAGTTCAGTTTTGTCTGTTCTTTCTGTGCACATCTTATTTTATTTCTTTTCCTCTGCTTATAAATGAATTAACCTGGATCAGTCTGTCATGTCAGGTGGTTGTGGTTCTGCATCATTTTACATTCTGCACAGTTACAAGCTGCTTCCACGATGTCCTGATTAGAAAATTTAACACCATATGACTTTGTTTTTGGTTTTTTTTGCTGAATACTTCCATACAGATTCTAGAAATAAACACTGAAGAAAGAAAGTGATTCATTTGCAAGAAGGAACGTCTACAAAAGCCGTTTTAATCCTGATGCCGAGCTTGTTTTGTCTTGTTACGTTTAACATGCAGCATCTTGTAGCTCTGCTCATCCAGAACCAACATCTAGAACCTGTGAACTCCAGGTTCTGGTTCCTACCAATGACACACATCAACATTTAGTCTAAACATGTGAAACCTGGAACCTCGTCTGGTCCAACTTCACCACATCAGGTTCTACTGATGTTAGAACCTCAACAGTTGGTGAAATGTGACCAAAGACTGGATTCTAATAGAAACATGGATCCATCCATAGATAGACACTGACAGGAACTTTGGAGGTTTTCAACAAGGTCCAGTAACTAAAAATCTGTCCTCTGCTGGATCCATTCAGTGGTTCTGATCTGATGGAAACTGCTCAGTCTGTGTCACCACATCTCATGTCTGTTGGAGTTTTACTTCTGGAGATACTGAACCATGAAACCTGCTTCACGTGTAGAAAATTTCCAGATCTGAAAACATCTAAATTCTCAAATTTCAGCCAAAAATATTTAACAGAAGATAGTTTTGGGTTCCAAATAACAAATTGTCAAACTCTGAACAGAATCTGAGACGATGCAGCAACACGACACCGACTGATCCGGTTTACTCAACTCGATCTACAAGCAGATTTCTGAAGCGAGGAAACAGAACATGCAGGAAAAAATCAAACAAATAAACTGACATTTTTCAGACATGAAAACCTCTAAATTTTGCCAAAGTGTTTTATAGAACTTAGCTTTGGATCCCAGTGAACAGATTCTTAAAGACTGAACAGAATCTAAACCAGTACAGCAGCAAAACTCCTGAATTCTGACTGAATTAATACGAACTAGCGTGACTGAATACAAACCAGACAAGGTGTTTAATTGCAGAAATCTATTTACTGCTCAGAGGCGTTGGTATAATAAATGCTAAATAATTTGATATTCTGTGAGAAACACAAACTCTCCTGCTGGTGAAACACAAGACAGACGCAGCAATAAACCCAAACGCGAACATTCTCATAATGCTGTCAATAGATTATATTTTCATATGACTAACAAACATTCAGAAAAGATTTGAAAAAAGAGGATTTAAAAGGAACTGAGATCTTTAAAAAACTCAGATTCAGAACAAAAGTGACGGAGCGTTGTGTTTCTGTGAAAGGAATCAGTTTATGGAACAATCTGGACAAAGAAGCCAAAGAATCAAAATCAATGTTTACATTTAAAAGGACAATTAAAGCCAATATGCTGAGGAGAAATGTTCATTATGTCTGATTGTAAAGACAGTAAACAATCATGTCCTATTAAAGCAAATATACATAAAGTAAAATGTGACTGTCAGCTTTGAAGGACGGCTATTTCATGTTATTATTATTGTTTTTGTTGTGAATAATTTGGTGTTTATGGTGTTGTTGTTGTTGATGCTTTTTGTAATTTAAGCTTCTTGTAAATTTATTTCTTTGGTTAAAGGAGGCAGATAACAGTAGATTATCCTTCTTTCTGCTTCCTTTCATTCAGGAGTCAGGAATGTTTGTGTTTAATTGCTTTGTTTTAATTCAGTGAATGAAATAAAAAATATAATAAATAAATAAAAATTCATTATCAAGTTACCTCATAATGATAACCAGCAGAACTTCTTCCTGTTCTATTCCAGCCTTATTCAGGCTATTTATTTTATTTCAGTAACGTATTGGACTTCTATCTTGTCACTTTTCAGACACTGCATTTCTTTTCTTATGTTATTTATCTGCACAGTGATTTCCTTCAGGATTAATAAACTCTCATCAGATGTGAGTCTCTGCTGTTGTTTCACTGTGCAGATATTAATATTGACACTAATTTCCTTTGGAGCTCGGTGTTATCTCAGATCAGTGACTACCGAACCGGTGCCGACCCGTTCCCAGACGTCCTACCTCGTGTTTAAAGGAGGCGCCGAGCAGCAGCTCCTGCAGCATCGTCTCTCCCAGCTCCCGGCTCGCCTGGTCGCTCACGAAGTGCAGCACCAGCACCTCCCCGTCCAGGAAGCGTCCGTGCGCCGCCATCGACAGCATGGCCACCCGGAACTTGTCCTGCAGGCTGCGGCTCTTGTCCACTTTGGTGAACATCATGAGAGCGTGGTACCGCCGGTCGCCGGCCTCCTGCTCCTCGGACGCGGCCGGGTCGGACAGCCGGGTGTCCACGGTGAGGTCGGCGTCGTTCCTGTTGGCGTTGTGGCTCGCCTGAGTCTGCTTGATCCGCTTGGTGGTGCTGGAGAAGTTCTGCCGCTCCGAGCCGAAGTAGTAAAACGCCACGACGGCGAGCGCAGCAGCCAGCAGCAGGACGAACTGATAGGACCTGAAGGTGCCGATCCGACCCATGGTTCTGACCAGCAGCCTGAAGAAGCCCATAGCGGCCCGCTGCTGTCATGAGAACGGAGGCGTGAAAAGGAAAACGTCCACCATGTCGGGTCGGTCAGTGTTCGGGAGCCGCAGAATCAATCCTGCAAGAGAAGAAATGTTTTAGGTCCAGACGTGATGCACAGAAACATAGTTCCACATAAAACCAAATAACCACGACAAGGTTCCTCCAGAACCTCCTCAGAACATCTGGTTCTGTATCTGCAGTACCTCTATCTAATGACCAGAGTTCTACCTTCAGACTGTGAATATTCCAGAGTTCCAGGTCCTTGAAGTCCATAGAGGAGGGTCCAGATTTATCACTTTAATGGACTTTTTCCATCATTTCTGAGCTTCAGAACTTCATCAGTGCAGCAGATAGACACATGACATTTAGGAGGAAGAATACATCTGAGTTCTGGTAGAAACTGACACCAGATCAGTTCTACATCCATCCAGGTGTCACAGTCTGAACACTGGATCTGGTTTCTCTTCATTTCCTTTGTAAGCAGCTGGTAGCATCAGTATTATGGGATGTCTTATAGTTTCACATCACGAAGAGACAAAACTGTCCCAAGGACTCGTAAAATGACCAAAATGTGAAACTAAAGGGCAAAACGAGATACAAAACTGTAAAAGTGACACAAATTAACCAAAACCACAAACAAAATCACCACAATGACAAAAAACAACGTCCCAAAGAAACTGAACAATGGAAATTTGAGGCAAAATGACAAAGATGAGCAAAAACAAAAAACGAGACACATGATGACCAGCTCAGTTTTACATCCACTTCAGGTGTCACCATCTACACTAAATCTGCTCTTTGTATTTTTTTTCCATAATCAACTTTGAGCATCATATTATGGGATGTATCAATACTCACAGAAACATTAACTGACTGGATGTGTTTCTGTTTTCTGATAATTCGTCGAAGAAAAATTTTAAAAGTGCATCTTAGGCTGGTTCTGTGTCTCCTCTGACCAGGACCACCACAGTGAAGTCCTGATGGTGAAGCACGGAGGTGGCAGCATCATGATATGGGGGAAACTTTGAAAAGTGCATTCTGGGTAAACTTTCTTATCAGCATGTGTGATGGTGGTTGGTCAGAACAAGTTCTAGACAACGGAAGGACTGTTTTACCTCCAGAACCTACCAGGACAATCTGTAGACAGGATTCACTCTGAGGAGAAACTATTTTCTAAAATAAACTTTTGCAGCATCTTTTGTAAAACTGTGACACCAAATGGTTTTGGTTGGACACAGTTTGAAACCTTAAAGCTAGAGAATAATCTCAGGTGTTTTTCATTGGCTTCAAAATGAACATGATGTGTTTATCATTTGTTGAGCTTTTTACTGACTTATTGTTTCATTAGTACAGCTGGACATCCTCACAGGGATGACAGGTCTGTTCAGTGACACTGAGGCTGATTTAGCTCCAGGTCTTTCTGAATATTTCTGCAGCTTTTTGAAGGTTCTTTGTTGAACATTTCTACAAGACCTGCAGGTAGGAACTAAGGTTCCCTGGTGAAGCTGTGAGCTGCTTCCTGAGGACAACTTCACAGATTTATTTACACCTGAAGTTGGATTCAGTGTCCTGCTCCTCCTGCCCCAGTACACCCGCCTGGATGCCTGCGGACTGGTTCCTGCCAGACCTGAGCTCCGACACACCAGCATCTCTACTCGCCTCATGTCGGCCGACAGCTGCTCCCGGGATTAATCCAGATTCTTCGCTGTTGATCCTTCATCAGCCGGTGTGAACACGCAGAGGGACCTGCAGCAGCCTGTTGACATCCAGCCGGAGTTAGCCAGCAGCCGCTCTGCGCCGCTGGATGCGCCTTCTGGAGCTCCTGGCGCAGCGCAGAACGCAGCTCGTTTAAAATCACTGCTGATGCGCAAAAAAAGGATGTTTATGTAAAAACAGAAAATCTGAATAAATAAAACGCGTTTGCAGGTTTGTGTAACACGGAGGAGAAAACCGCTTGTGGCTTGTAGCCGCAGCAGCTAGCAGAGGCTCCACCTCACCCACTCCCACTCGCTGATGCACTGCTGCCTTCACGGCCTGTCGGGAAAACGCAGCATCATGTGACCGCAGAGGAAGCTGCAGTCTCAGGACCGCACTTGTGGAACCCTGGATTGTCGAGACAGCGCCACCCGCTGAACTGGATGAATTTACCTCCAAAGTATTTGATTTATCAAGCTAAAATTGACGTCCATCCATCCATCCATCCATTTTCTATACACCGCTTAATCCTCATTAGGGTCGCGGGGGGGCTGGAGTCTATCCCAAATGACTCAGGGTGAAGGCAGGTTCACCTGGACAGGTAACCAGTCTATCACAGGGCTACACTTAGAGACAGACAACCAAGCACACTCACATTCACACCTACAGACAATTTAGAATCACCAGTTAAATTAACATGTTTCTGGACTGTGGGCGGAAGCCGGAGAACCCGGAGAGAACCCACGCTGCACGGGGAGAACATGGAGACTCCACACAGAGAGATCCTGGATGTCCTCACCGGGACGCGAACCAGTGACCTTCTGCAGCTATGAGGCAATGGTGCTAACCACTGCACCAGCAGCCCAATAGGGGAATGACTTGCAGGAAAGGGACTATAGCCCCAGTACATGGGTCACCAGCTCAACCAGTTTAGCTATCGTGGTGCCTCAAAATTAAAGTCAAATAATCACATATTATGCTTTATTTTTTTAGATAGATAGATAGATAGATAGATACTTTATTCATCTCCAAGAGAAATTTACAATTTTTAATTAGAAGATGTTCAGGCAGAAATTGTTTTAAAACGTGAACCATTTCAGATGGATTTTTATTGATTTAAACTATAATTATAACTACTTTATATTTTCTTACTGTTTATATTCACTTACTGCATTCTTTTTATCTTTATTTTTTTGCTTATTTATCTGTATTTATGGTAACTTTACTCTTTTTGCTGTAACAACAGAATTTCCCCTCAGGGATTAATAAGAATCTATTATGATATCAAATGCTTAAAATAAATGAAGACCCTAAAGCAGCATTTGAGTGTGATTGTGAGTAATTTAAATACTGAGGAGTAAAATCCTTATATATATCCACTTTACTATGGTATGTATTGAATCGAAGACTCTACAGTTTTATTAATTATGTAGATTAACCGGACTCATTTAGAACTTGATGATCCCAAAAGCATTCATGAAAACCCAACAGATTCCTGGATTTCCTGTGAGCAGACTTTGATTTTATTTTTATCAGTGCCAGCCAGTGCAGAGCTCTAATAATCGGACTCGTGTGTGGTGTTTGTGAAGCCAGTGTTTCCGAGCCTCCCCAGCGGCACTGAACGCAGCAGCGCAGCCTCGGTCGGTCCCTGCAGCAGCTTTGTGGCTCCGCTCAGAACCGTCCGTTTGTCCGCCGCCAACACCGAATATCTCCGTCTGTCCGCCGGGAACATGCCCGCTTTTCTACCCGCCTGATGCTTCTGTCGCCGTGAACGTTACACACTTCGCCTTTTTTGTTTTGTTTTGTTGTAAGCCGGAGCTAGCGCGAAGCTAAGCTAGCTCGAATCGCGAAAATGAACTCCAACACGCACGTCATCCAGGTGACCAACGTCTCCCCGAGCACGACGTCCGAGCAGATGAGGACCCTGTTCGGCTTCCTGGGGAACATAGAGGAGCTCAAACTGTTCCCACCGGAGTGAGTATCCCGGGTTTTCTCTGGGTTTTTACCGTCCAGTTCACGCCGGGTTCGAGCTGCGGCCTTGCGGCGTCGAGCAGGCCGCGCCGCACGGCATGCTAACGATGCTAGCGTTGCTAAATGCCCGCGTCTTTAGAGAAAGCAGGAGCAGCAGCAGCAGCTACAGAGAGCGCAAAGTGCCACAATTCGCCGCAGTTTGCACCAAATCGAAAGGCCGCTTTTATACTGTGTTAAATGCAGTTAAAATGCGCTTTTTATGGCAGTAAAGTTCGCAAAATGTCGCTTTTCTAGTGTCTAAAGCAGGAAGAGTTGCTGCTTTTTATGGCATTTTAGCTAGAACTGATGTTTACATGGTAAAACTGGCATATTGCTTGTTTTTTTCCCTGCATATTACTGCTGTTTACACGGTCTCAAGTGTAAAAATTACTGTTTTTATGGCGCATTAGTCATAGCATTGCTTTTAACTGGCTAAATGCTACAAAATGCAAAATGTTTTTTTTTTTATTATTGTTGTCTGAAGTGGTGATAGCTGCTGTTTACAGCGTTGTAATTGGATAAATTGATGCATGTTGCAGCACTGTAAATACAATTTCACATTTCATGGTGTGTATGGTGAGCATAATACCATTTTCCACATGTCAAAGGCTAGCATGGTGCTGTTTACACCATTTAATTGCATTTTATTGTTAGTGTTTGACGGTCCTCCAGCTACAGATCCGCTTTTTGTGTCATCAAAAGCTGTCAGGATGCTGTAAAAGTTGGCTTAATGGCACTTTGTATACTGTTTAAAGCTAAAAAGGTGCTGCTGTATAAGAAGCTGAAGCCATAATAATGTTCATTAACTGTGGGGGGAAATGCCTTTAAAAATGGCAGAGCTCATGGAGTTATTAGTTATGTAAAAAACAGATAGAACCGTCTCCCAGCAGCAGTAAATCATGGCACTTTCTGCTTTCCATACATGTGAACACCCTTCAGCCTTAATGATTTATTCTTAATTAGAAACCAGGATGTCACTCGTTCTGAAACAGTCGAGTAATCGATAAAAATGCCATGTGATTGTAGTTTGTTTGAGGCAATAATTCATCTGTTTATTGTTAATTACATGTGCACTACCCCTACAGTACAGGGATTGTCAGAAAATAACGTAAAGAAACAGTTTTTTCAATGATTCAGTTAAAAAAAACAAAACACAATATTTACTTTCTAGTGCTATAAAAAGAGAACAGGCGGAAGTTAGGAACTCAAAAAAAGCTAAACAATCACCAGAATTGTTCATAGTCATAAGTGTGTTTAATTGTTTCATACGTTCATTATTTCTGGACTATTGGTCATCCAAACAAGCTGTTTAATCAGCGTTTCTGTGGCTCTTTTACACAAGATTAGAGATTTTAAAGGTATTTAATTCATGAGACAGATGGACAGAGAAACACCCGCAGTGTCTAACTCGCAGGAATACACGTATTTGTATATTTATTTCGGTCCTCGACCTTCATCGGACAAACGTTTGGTTCGACAACGTTGCTTTAATCTCTCCGTGTTTCTGCACAGAGCCGGGCGAGAGCTTTTCTAGTTTATAGCACATTTAATTCTAATAATTGGAAACAACAACTTTCCATTGGATGTCACAGATCCCACATGCAGAACTCACTTTTCAGTATTTTCTCATTGGCTGTAGTGGGAAATAATTGTTTTCTGCTTTCTTGTATTCTCTTCTATTGAGTTACACCTGGCTGCTGTACAGGTAGGAAACATCAAGCTGCAGCAACTGTTCAATCAAAATCCCAAAGTTTGTGGGCCACAATTCTAACCCACTGAGGGTGAAACAAAGATAATGATCAGTGATTTAACTTTGATTCCCAACAAATTGTAGTAATGTTACGATATGGTACATATAGTGGAAATTGTTTGGCTTTTGATGCAGGAAGTAGGACAGGCCACTGGGCTTATTATCTGTTAACGTCTGTTGTGAAGAAGGCATGTTGGTTCTCCTGCTTTGTATTCTTTGCACAACTTATCTGTATTTTCTTTCAGTGACTCTCCCTTGCCTGTGACTTCACGTGTCTGTTTTGTAAAATTCCTTGAGTCTGAGTCGGTGGGAGTTTCTCAGCACCTGACCAACACCGTCTTCGTGGACCGAGCCCTGATCGTGGTTCCTTTCGCCGAAGGTGGGTCTCTCTTCCGTTCTGCTCCACCTCACATGGCTTTCTCTGAACAATGTGTATTTGATAGACTTGAAACACTATCTGAGCCATTGTGAGTTTGTTCTTTTGTTTTGTTTCTGACCCAGAAAAGTTAGCTAAGCTTTTCACTGCTTGGCATTTCTAGGTATGTAAAAAAAAAACAAAAAAAAAACAGGGAAATGTACATTTGTGTCTATGTCTTACAATCTAGCTGTAAACTTCTCTCTCTGTTATTTGTGTTGTGGTTTTCATAGTGGACAAGTCATTTGCAGAGAGCCCCTTCCTTGCTGGCTGAAAGTGGTCCTCTGCTGCCATCAGGAGATTAGAAAAAATAATGGCACCAGGCTCGCCAGCCCCTTCTCTCTCTTGTTCTGCAGTAAAATATTAACTCTTTATTTTTTTTTCTCTTTCTGTTCAAGGCATCTTTTTAAAAAAAATAGTAATAATGAAGCAATTTAGCCGCACAGCTCTTTGAGGCAAACTGAGCGGGTGGGAGAGGGTGCAGGGCAATCTGACATCCGCACATGTTCGGAGGATTTTCATATTTTCAGATGAATTGTTTGTCGACTGTTAGGCATGCACCGAGCTAGGGATGCCCCGAGCACGCACAGGACAAGCCAATTAAGTACCTTAAAATCAAAGTTTGCACCATTTCTGATCCAGTTCTTATATTTTAACCTCTTGTACTGCAGTTGTGCTTCGAGAAATTATTGTTTCAGTTCATGATATTCACACTAACGGCATGAATCAGGAAAAAAAAAACAATCTCTGCTTAGAAAACGTTGTTTTATGTGGAGATAAACTTGTATCTGTGATATTAGTGTGAAAAAAAGGCTAATTCATGTGTTAATTTAGCTCCATACTGTCACAAAACATTTGTCTGAAAATTTGTATTTGTAAAATGCAGATTCACAAATTCTTTTTATTTATTTATTTATTTATGTATGTATTTGTGGTTAATAACAAGTTAGGTTAATGACACTAAGTTTGGTTAATGACACTCTTGTGTTCGACGTTCCTGCACGTGCACACAGGTGTTTTCAGTTCCTGGTTGATTTACCTGTTTGTAGTTTGGGTGGAGCTCTGATCAGCAAACCTCCAGGTGCATCTAAATCTAACGTTGCAGGAAGGAGACGTCGGTAGTTACGGTCCAGAGCACAGGAGCAATCAGCCACGTGGGTGAACTCACCTGTGTAGGTGTTTGCGGGTTTGGTTTGTTTACTTAGCGCTGAGCAAACAGAACCAAAACAGAAAATATAAGAACTGGGTCAGACGTCAGGTGTTTGTAGATTCCTGATGCTAAACGGCTCAGATTGGGACTAAAGCAGGTGTTCGGGACATTCCTACACCAACACAGCATGCAGGTAGAAGAACTAATCAGCTGTGCATGTTAGACTAGCGTGAAGGTGTGAACCGCCATCTACAGTCAGCTGCTGTTGTGGGAGTTCATTAGAGTCTGATCATGATGAGCACACAAACTCACCTTTGGCAGTTACTTCTTGCTTCATGTGCCAAAGCCTTGTATTATTTCTACTCTGTGCATTCCCAAATCCTCACTAACAACACGAGAGGTAAACGTAGTTTTAAGGCTTCTGCTTGATGTTGCAGTTTTTAAAGAAAAAATGCATTTTTTAAAACAAATAAAATTGAGCCTCTCCACACATGACTCTGACAGAGTTGAGTGAATCTCACGTTAACAGTGGTGTTTCTTTTTGTTGTTGTGTTTTACAGTTCTTTTTCCTGGTTCAGCCAGCCCTATATACCAGGCCCTGCTGAAAATACCACCAACAGTTTTGTCTTCTGCAGCCTTATCCTGTTTCTCAAGTGTCCTTTCTGTTGTGTGAATGTGTGTGTGTGTGCTCTCTCTCTCTCTCTCTCTCTCTCTCTCTCTCTTTCTTTATCCCTCTCTCTCTACCTCTCTCCCCCCTTTACAATGTAAAAATGTCAGATTTTTTAAAAATTAGCCTGTTTTCAGATTGCACAGCCATGGATCATCATCTCTCATAGGATGTTCCCTTTTGATTTTTACTGTTTGGTTCTCTTCAGCTTTGGGCAAATTTTTCGTGATTTTTATTATTATTTTTTTAAATCATGAATTTGCTGCTGGTAGCCTTGAACGCCTCGTTTCCACACAGTTCTGCGTTTGTATACGAACCAACGGAAAGTTAGCGAAGCTCCTTGTAGCCACGTTAAAACACTCGTCGGTAGATTACGGGCAGACCAAGAGTGAGTTAGCCAACAGCTGTTGGTGTTGATCGTCAAATTAGGTGTGTGCAGTTAGCAAAGAAACTGGTTTAGCTAGCTAAACTCATGCTAACATTCATATGTCGTCTAAATATTTAACTAAACTGGTTCCACATGTGGCAGGAAAACCTCCTCACTTATTTCTCTTCATGTGTTGTTGATCCTGTTTTAGTTCACGTACTTATTCCCTAAAACCCGACAGTAAAAACGAATTAGCCTCCAATTAATCAAATACCTTTCCCTGCGTTGAACACCAGGGAGCGCTGTCTGAAGATCGTGGCTATAAAGCAAAACTATGTGGAAACGAGGTGAAACTGTTTAGTTCAGATTGTCTTTGAGATTGTTTAGTGATTTTTTGTGATTAGCACTTTATCTGGTTGCCTTTTTTGTGGTGGATTGTGAAGTGAGCCACCACCAAAAGGCCAGAAAAGGTAAAAAAAAAAAAAAAAAAAACTAAGTGACTGAGCCTTTTCTGTTTTTGTATTGGTTATGGTAAGTTATGTTGAAATGTACCCTTGTGTCTACACCCAAATCATGAACTTTGTTTTCTGTATCTCAATGTTTTTGTGTGCTTTATAGCGAAGCAGCCGGCGCGAGTCGCTTGTTCATAAAACATCTAATGAAAGTTGAGAGCACATCCCACGGGACAACTGGCTGTGCTTGCTTACGTTTGGTTCATGACTTAAAAAACAAGTACAGGTGATAAAATCTTGGCAGTGTTGACCACAGTGTGTATTGTGACTTTTAAACTCATAGCTGCTAATCCTACAATCATACTTTCACAACAACAACAAAAGTCAGGGATCAAGATTTACAGACAAGACAAAAAAAAAAAAAAAGTGGATTTTTACAATTTTTTATTTCTACTACAGAGTAGTTAGTCTGAGGTGGCTTGTCTGCAAGTCTTGTCTGAGTGTTGTCGATGTTTTCTCGGAGCGTGTGCTGAAATGTGGTTGTTTTTCTCCAGGAGTCATTCCTGATGAATCTAAAGCTATGTCGCTGCTGGCTCCAGCCAATGCTGTGGCAGGAATGATGCCTGGGGGAGGCCTCCTTCCAACGCCCAATCCTCTGGCATCTGTGAGTATCGAGCTTTATTCATATTGCTTTATTTTGGCTTCCTGTCTTCTATTACTTTGTGTGTGTTTGATAAAAGTGTTGAACCTTTACAACGGGATACTGAGGAAACGGTGTCCTCTAAGTAATGACGTCTTTATGCTGATGACACCAGACTGTCCTATAGTGGACCGCTGCACTCAGTAAACATCCAGTTGGACCAAAAGCCTTTAGACATTTTGTAAAGTCTTGAGTTTTAATTAATTAAAAGTTTTTGGGAAATATGACACAATCTGCTGCGTCAACAGTATACATGCTTAACTTGAATGATCAGTTTTAGTGATACAGAAAGTTGTTAGTTACATTTTCTCAGTTTCATGGCCTCTTAGCTTTTTGTAAGTGGTTCTGATTGACTCCAGCTGCTCACTCCTCTGATCCAGTTTAAATAGAACCACTTGATCCACTCATTAGACCCAAACACTACAGTGGGAAAGTCTGAGGAGCTCAGCAAAGAGCTGGAAAAGAAAATCAGTGACTAGAACCAGTCAGAAAGTCACTTGGAGTCATTTC